AAAATATATAAGAAAAAAGGTATACGGAATTGGTGGTATTACAAAACTACAACGAAAAAAGAAAGCATAATACGGCGTTGAGTATTTGTTAATAACATTCTTGAAAGGAAAAGAAAAAGGAATTAGAAACTTTTAAGAGTAGAAAATTTCAAAGTTTTTCTACTGCTTTATTTTTCTTTCTCTTATGGTTTAAACGAAGAAGTAAACAAATGAAATCTAACAAATAATCAGATCAGCAGAAGAAGTGAAACATTCCAAAGAAGCTAACTTACTCAAGATGAAAAACTAGGAACATTCACAACGTTTGAGAAGAATTGCTAATGAATTGATTCTCGAGCAAACGTGTAAAAAATCGATTTAACCAAAGAATAGTTGTAAAAGAAAAGCTGTTTTAAAAATATTTGATAAAACCACTGCTTATGACCACATCTTGTGTCGTTGCTACCACTGAAGAAGTTGCTTACTGGAGGAAGGGTAAAGAAGCGCAGCGGTTCTTTTCGTTTGGACAAAATGCGGTAAAGGCCGGGGCTGCTACTGAATAAGGAAAGCGCAGGTATTTACCCCGCTTTTTTTTTGTTGGTTTCTGTTTACATATGAACCGCGATGAGCGGCTAAAGTGAGTAGCTGGAATACGTTGAGGGTAAGCGTGTGACGAAAGGTAGGAGGACATTAGACAGACACAGATGGACGAAGAAAAGACCCACGGATGACGTACCGCACAGACGACATAATTGTATAATGGGAGTAGAAGACCTTTCGTTTTATTTTTTTTTTTTTATTTCTTTTTACCAGTTATTTTGGTTTTATTAATAGTTAATGTTTCTTTTTGTGATGCGGAATTACGGGCCGGGTTCAGCTGATCTACCGATTAAGAGCTAGGTTGCGCTACCAAAAAAATTGCGTTACAAATGCCGCCCAACGGAAAACCGCAGCAATTGAATTTTTGTGGTCGGACTGACGCAAAAATTTGGTCGCAAACCATCACGAAATGGCGCCCAACATAACGGTAACACGGGAATGGTTTTACAATCTTTAGATTCCGGAACTTCCATGATAAATTTAATTTTTGTTATATATGTACCGGGTAAATAATTCTTTTCATAAAATTTTTCATAGTTATTTGATTTCAATAGCTTCGACTTAAATTTTGATTCGTTGGTACAACAAAGTGGCGCCCAACGCAAGGATTTCTTTGGATTTCAGTTATTATTTTAATTTGGCTCAATTCAAATTAAAACCCGAACCTTATATTTATTATTGTTTTTTTCTTTTTCTTATTGCTAGTCTGTCCGGATTTTGATAGGTAAACATAAAGGGGGCTCGCCAAATTGCTATCGCAGTTCTGCTGATGAGGCGTGGATCTGTTGGGCAAGGCGGCAATAGGGAGAGGAGGGGCTAACGGGTGTCAGGGCCGTCGGGGGTACCTAGCATCAAGGAATACCTGGTGCTAGATAAGGGATCCCGGGTCGCTGGTACTCGCGGCAGCGGTACTCATCGCTCGAGCAACGGCGCCCTGAGGGTCTCAGGGATAGCTTGAATCTGAGTGGCGAGTATCCACGAGAGTGGGCGGGTTCCTAACGGTACGCCCCGAAAGGCGTGAATTTAAAACACGATGGGGTCGATCGTTCAGGAAGTGGGGAAAGGTCTATTGTTGTGGAGTCTGTTAAGATTAGTGTTACGAATACATGTAACGTATAAGGAAAATAAACTTTATCGATCGCGAGTTTCGACGTTTTCATTTTGGAAGAAGTAACACTTTGGAAGGAGTAACACTACTGAAGAGTATCCCACTGATAGCAGTGCAGCGGAGTTTTTTAACAGCCTTAGTAGGAAATTGAACGATCTATTCAGGATGTCCGACAACGAGTCACTAGACAACGCCCGCAACACTAGTGGCAACATCGCAGGAAATGGCAGCGGCGGTCACAGCCAGCAAGACCCACCAGCAAGGGTAGGCAGTCCTATCCTACAGGTGGATATGCTGAAACAGCAGAACGAAATGCTCCTAAGCTGCATGCAGGAAATCGGGAACCCGAAGAGAGAGAAATCATTCTTCCCAAGAGGAAAGGTGTAGTATTATCGATTTGTCGCGCTCTACCGTAATTTACAAGTTATTGCTAAGTTTACATTTTACACCTAACCTAGTTAAGATAGTGTAATTCTAGTAATAAGCTATTAATATAATATTATATGCTTACGTTATTATTCTAAGCGATAACCTAATTTAGTTATATTGCTTAAGTTAGCATTAAGTTATTTCTTATATAAGATACTGACCATACATTAGATACATCATAATATAAGCAAGTATTTTAAACGAAAGTTAAAGAATAAAGAATCTAAAATAATCAAATAAACCAAAGAACCTTTAATTTCTAAGTGGTGTCACTACAAGATAACGCAAAAACTTTCAAAAGAGTAGACTTAGAACTTAGAAAATTTAAACAGTTGTTAAAATGTAACGATGTAGAAAATATGGAAGTTAACAAAAATATTTTGGAACGAGCAGCATGACAGGGTGGGTTTTGGAAGCGTCTTATAAGAAGTGTAAAAAAAGCAGCTATCGGAAAACTAAAGCAGCCTTTAGACGACAACACTATTAACAGAAGTTCATAGCATTGTGAAGGCCCGATCAATACATATGTTACCAGCGATCATTTTGTAAATGTATATAAATCTTATCTTCCATAGAGAAAACTATGGCAATAGCGCAATTGTGGTCTTTACGACAAACCTAAATTAAATATTACTTGAGGTGTTGGAGTAACAAATTTTTAGCTCAGATCCATTCATCAAAAGAGAAACTATTCATCCAAAAGCGACAACGTTGGGGATGTTGTCCCACTTCATGAGGACAACAAGTGTAAGATATAATGTCCATAAGTCTTCTAGGTCGGTCCAAGTATTCTCTACGGGCTTTAATATTTAATCACAATTACAGCCACTTAAAAACAAGTGGACAACAAGTGTAAGATATAATGTCCATAAGTCTTCTAGGTCTGTCCAATTATTCTCTACGGGCTTTACAATTACAGCCACTTAAAAACGATTGGAGGCTGTAAAGACTTTCGTAGGTACCATAAGTGAGCTATATATATGGGGGTTTTAAAATTTCTCCCACGAACACTCCACAGACGATTACATCGAAAAGAAATTCACGATATTTACGAAACCTGGCTTATCGAACGTGCATATCCCAAGTCTGCCTTATTTTTAATCCTATCCTTACCTACCCTTAAGTTCTCTTTCGACCCATAATGCCTATATTTGGGTCCAAGGACCGTTAAGCAGCTTTCCTCACATGAAAAATTTATGTTTTTATTTCATTTTTCCGTTACTTAATTTTCCCAAGTACAATAAATCATGTTCTTTTATGCCTTCTTTGTGCTATTAATTTTTCTATATATTCTTAGAATATTAAATGCTTTCTTATAATGTGAATGCATTGATTAATTGTGTAAATATTCAAGTACTTACACCAATTTTTGTTCAAATTTAACATATTTTTATATGCATAATTTATACTAATAGAAATTCCTCAGCTGTTATTTATTTAGTCTCAAATTTTGTTTTCATTTTTAGGATGCTTTATTATATTTCTTTTGTAGTTGTGTTGCTTAAACACTTGAATGTTTTTTAACAAAGTTCTTTGTGGGGATTTAGAATTTGTTTATTTTGTACAATTTTTCGATTGTTTTTCTTTCCTTTTTACCCACATATCTATTTTTTTTTTTCTTTACATTTATTGTCTATTATTGGTTTAGGGATTTAATTCTATATAAAATAAATGGAAATGGACCAGAGAAGAACGCACAGCATAAGAAATACTTTCACTTAAAAATTACTATAGAATTTCAATTTTGCTTTGATTAAGCAAACAGATAGATTTCACTGCACATATCTTTGATTATCGCTATTTTTTAGTTTTTTTTCGAAATAAAAAATTCACTTTCTTATACTTCCCTTTTTAATTTTTATTTTAATTTCCACCCCTCCATGACGAGTTATAAACTATGTAATTAGCTTTAGCTGACCTCTTAAAGGCAAGTGTATATTTTTCTATGAAATTATAAATCGGTACAGAATATGGCAAACAGTTAGTAAAAGCAATCAAAATGCCCTTTACTATTAGGTATTTTATTCAGATGACGACGTTTTTATATAAAATATATGAAAATGAAATCTAAGCATAAATGATTATTGAACGGGTAGATGACAATAAATCGATAATGCTACCTACACCTATCCTCTTGAGAAGAATGATCGTTAACATTAAAAGATCATTCTTGGGTTTAGTGATTATCGATTAATTCGATTATTTCTTCTACCGTGGTCTTGTTATGAATGTATGTTTTTGCTTTGTTCTTATAAATATTTATATAATGAATAAAAAAAAATTTTGTTTGTGTAGGGTTCTTAAAAATACTTATGTGTAATTAGAAAAAATGTTTGTTTGTGTAGCCGCCTTACACTTAGTTTTTATTTTTTTTTGATTACTTATGTAGCTTCTTCATACAGTTTTAACCTATTTTTGTGTACTATTTGATTTTTGTTTTTATTGTCTTTAATTTTAATGTTGTTGTTATCCTTAATTTCTACGGCCTTATACGGTCCTAAATAGCTTTTTCGTAACTTATGCCCTACTTCATTTCTTAGTAATACTAAATTACCTATTTCTAGTGGGAAATTGTTAGTTTGCTGTCGTAATTTATTTTTTGTTGTCCTTTTTCCTTATCTAATAGTTTCCTAGCGCGCGCGTATGCTGTATCTAATCTACATTAGTCTCTTTAGCGTAATCGTCTATATTATATGGTGGCTCAATGTTTTAGTTGTGGTTTGTTAGTTGTGTTGGTGGCCTTGCAAACACTAGTTCATAGGGACAATATTTATATGTTGTGGAATATGTTGTTTTGAAACAATATTAGAAATATTTTATCCAAATATCCCAATCATTCAATTCAGGCGAGACGTTCATTTAATGTTCGGTGGTTGCATTTCACCGTGCCAAGCGTCTGATGATGATGGGCTGTTGATGTTTCTTTGTCGATTTTAAGGTACTTACAAGGATCGTTCAGTAGTGCATTTTTGTATTCGGTTCCTTGATGCGTTACCAGTGTTTTCATGGGTCTGTAGTTTCTATGAAATTTTCGAAGATTGCTTTTGCTACGATCTTAGCACTTTTATCTGTGACCGGAATTGTTACTAAATATTGTTACTAAATATTTGGTAAGGTGGCAGATTAGTGTTATCGCGTTGCCTTTCCTCCGTCTTTGGTAATGGGCCGATGGTGTCAATTACAACTGTGTCAAAAGCAGTTACTGGTGTTGGGGTCATAGAAGTTTTGGTATGTTTTGTGATTTTAGCCTTTTGGCGTAGTGAACATCCTTTGACATGCTTAGCTATTGTTCTTGTCATTTGCGGCCAATAATAGTGTCTTCGTATTTCCGACAAGGTACGTATAATTCCTGTGTGACCGCCTTCCATTGGGTCATTGTGGTATTTTTCTCAAATATTTTTGATTTCGGACTTATTCTTTTTGTCTATAGTTGTCACCTTTTGGAGTGGCGCTACTCTCATATTCTTTAATATCTTATTGCCCATTTTTTTGGATTGATTTTGCGATACGGCTTCAAAAATCTTCTCGCTTGGTGACACTTTGAATTTTGACATTCTTAATATACCGGCTTCTGTTGGAGGACGTCGATACGTTCACAGATTTAGGCGTTTTATTTGATCATAGATTACGTTTTCACTTGCACATTGAGCTCTCGATAAGCAAAGCTGGGCCCGCGCTTGGTTTTATAAAGAGGTGGTCCGAAGAGCTTGATTACCAAAAGGCTGTACATGTGTTTGGTTATACCTTTACGTGAGTATGTCTCCGTTGTGCGGTCTCCTTCATATAGGTGCTATGTAGATTCAATTGAATCGGTTCAAAAGCAATTCTTGCTGTTTGCCCTTAGAAATTTGGGTTGGGATCCGATTGCCTCTCTTTCTCCCTATGAAAATAGGTTGCTTCTGTTATCCTTATCGTCTCTGAAAAAACGTAGATTTGTTCTTGGCGTTTCCTTTCTAATTAAAGTAATAAATGGTGCTATTGACTCGCCTTCATTACTTGGTGAAATAAGCTTTAATGTCCCTAACCGCTTCTTTAGGGACTTTATCTTGGTTACGCTTAGTCAGTGTAAATATAATTATGAGCGGTTTAATCCGCTCATAGTAGTTTGCAAGAACCTAAATGACGTCTATCACTTATTCTCGTTATCGGACTCTTTAAAGTCCATTAAAGCAACATAGCTTAATGCGCGTAATTTACCTATGTCGTACCTAAAGTAGCTCTTAACTTTAAAATGTTACGTTGAGTCGAAAATGAATTGTTGTTAACTATTATCGATTGCCAAGCTTATGCATGTTTGCGATGATTTAGGGGTTCATTCGCAATTTGGTCTTGTACCGGTTATGGGTGTGGCTCTATGCTAGTGGTGTATATGCTTTTTTTCTTTTGTTTTTTTTTTCTTTCTTCTTATTTGTTTTATTGTACTTATATTAAGTTTTAATATTAATTAATTTAATATTAATTGCTAATTAATTGAAGTTTTACTTTAAGAGTCAATTGAACTCGACTGTCATAATTTTTAGTTGAGTTTTAGTGGAATAAATAAATGAATAAATAAGTAAATAAATATACAGATATAAAAGTTAGTCAATGTGGATAAAATTACAAACTTTTCAACAAGTTCAGAGTTCTTTGAAAAATTCTAAATGATATCTATTACTTACTTTCTATCTATTACTCTATTACTTAATCTCACTACAAATATGGTTAACATTTTAGTATGATTCAAAAATTAACTGAATTTTGTTACCATTGTCGATTGTCAAACTTCTTTCCATGTTGTGTACCTTTGTGTCAGATGTATACATGCTTTTGTTTGATTTTTTCCCTCTTATTTATCTAAAAATTAATTTTATTCTTTTTATATTTTCGTCATTTTTTTGTCTCTTTACTTCTCCTTATACACTTTATATTCGTTTTTAACAATAATTAGCATAAGACTTACCTGTAAGACCCGATTGAATTCGACTATTGGGCTGAATTTCATATGTAAATAAATAAAATAAAATAACTAAATACAAATTAATAAATATTTTGCAATAGGATATGTAACCGAACCTTGATGTAACCAATTTGGCTTTTTAGATATTCGTAGGTACCTGCTACAACAACGAGGTCAATTCAACAAAGGTTTGGCTACCAATCCACCTCATAGGCAGTAAAGTGGTGCTGTAATTATCACACATATAAATTTCTATATTAATTTTCTTTATGGAATTATTTGAAAACCAATGAAGCGTCTGCTCTTCTGCTTTTAAAGAATCCGCTTATCTTTGCAGCATGGCTTGCTCTCCAAAAAATTTTTGCTGCCGTAAAACAAGTTTTTCACGTAGTCTTTTTCCTCTTTGTTACCATTTTTACAAATTTATCGTCGTCGCCAATAATATTGCGTATTAACCTGGAAATAAAGTGGGGCCTTGCTCGTTTACCTTATAATTCCATACTTCATTTTATTTCTACTCGCACGTTACTATGGTTTGGGTTGGGGTTTTGGCGGCTAACTCGTTGGCCATCACAACAAAAAAAAGATCATTACAATATTTTCCTCGATTCCGTTCTCTACTCCCAAACTGCCCCATGTGTACTTATCGACCGTTACTTACTTCACCTAACCGTTTCGGTACTCTCTTCTTTTTCCTTTTTAATTCATTATGCAAACAAGAGAATATAAATATACATATATATATATATATATTCTTCCATATTCAAAATCTCCATTTTCACATTTTTCACAGCAAATTTTTTCGCTGACCACTAAATAACTCAAATCCGATCCTTTCTCCCTGAAGGTTTCCACTCTACTGACCTTTCGCTATTTGACTTATTTTGCTCTCATCTCCTTCTTTCTCTTTTTTTTATCTCCGATTGTACTCTTCTGTCGCCTAATATATTATGTTTGTTGATGCCTTAGCAGGCATAGATTTGTAAACAGTCATATCAGTTTCATTCGCAAAATCCACCGTTATGTAATACGCACGCACTTTAGACTTTTTCTTTTTCCATAATTTCAGCCTTTTATTTTAACTATAACAACTGAGGAATTACAAAAGGAAAGACCTTCGGACGGAATTTCGCTATTCCATAGTTTATTGTTTTTTGTGAAGAATAATAGCAAAACCAAATGAACAAAAACCCCCTACATCTATATATGTTATGACTATACATATGATAAGAAGATAAGAAAAAATAATTCAACGTATAATACAATAAATATACTTGACGGTGATTGGTGTTGATAGAGCTCATTATGTGCGTCAGTTATCATTGTGTTATTCCAACCAATGGGTAGCATCGTCCAAGTATGCAGTAGTAAATGATATTGTTTTTGTTTTTTGACTTAATATCCAAAATAATTCTTTTAATGTCACTAATTCCTACAGCCATAAGGCTGTAGTTAATTAAATCTGAACTTCTTGAAGTTTTTTACTTTAGGCGGATGAAAGTGTCAAGTAATTTACTTACTATTGCTGGTATTCTTGGAATGCAAGACATACAAGGACAAAACGATTTCATTGTTATTTACTTACGACAGATTATTACGACATATATGAAATCTTTAATCGTAGAAGAAACACGTCACTCACACACCATTGCTACCAGCGTTCTGTGTCAAAACTTTACGAATAAAATCTTTTCTTATTATTTTTAATAATAATTACGCTGATTCCTCCACTAAAAAGTTTAAATATTGACATTTTTCTAAATCCAAATTTAACCTTCAATATATTGTACATGCAAGTTCATATATCTGGCTTTCCTATAACAATATGGCAATACACATATTTCACTTCGTCAAAATCGCGTACGTTCAGCATATACTAGTTGAAGTATTAACCAAACCAAATACTGCTCATATAACAATATAAAAATTGATTAATTTTACTTTTCTATAGCCATTAGCACGTAGGTTTGTATAAACACACTCGCTCAACTTGCAATGAAATTTGGACTATTTCCATCTTACTTTACGACTTAAGAACGGTTTCTACTTTCAAAAAGCGTCACAATATTTATTTTAAATAAAAGATCCAAATCATAAATAGTATATACTGCATTTGATACAATGAATCTGTATAAAAACTGCGAACTGAATTTTAAGGCGGTATCGTTGGCAATTTGTACAATGTTTTTACCATATTTTCAATTGCAATACCTATACCTATAGTTTCTAGTGAAATGCGAGTCTTCCCAAAATATGGTGTAAGCAATTCTTGCAAAACTTTACCTCTTAACCGTGGTGGAATGTACACTCTCGTACCAATTAGGAGGCAATTTTGTTGTAAAAAGAATTCAAATTAATCAATAGCAAAGTGTAAACGAGGTTGCTCTATCGGTTCTTCTTCTACTGTGAAGTATTGCCAGATGTAACAATAAGTAACGATCGTCCACCGGCCAACCAAATATTTCGGGTTAAATCATAATCATAAAAACATTTCTGTATTACGTTTTTGTTGATCTTCGGTGGCAATTAAATTTTTCACTATACTATATACTTGCATGAATATGAGAAATTTATACTCTTTTTTTATTATGAGGAGTATAAACGACGGAAATGAAATGAGGAGGAAGATTTACATAGCTTCGAGTTCTCAGCCATTTTTTTTCAAAATATAAAACAGATGGATCTAGCACCTTTCAATGGTCAACATTTCTTGCATTTCAAGTCGCTTCGAAGGAGTAGTGGTTGTCTTCTCACAAGGCACAGGAGCAATAAAATTCCGGTATGACGCATAGAAGTATAACTGGTTAATTTTACAATTAAAGTGCAATAGAGGTCGAAGGCGATCATCTGACAGATTGCTGCTTGTCTAATTCAGTGAATTATACAGTTTGTTTCCATTGATTCTTTTTTACCCAACAGAGCATCTGTTGCCCATTTGCCGAATTGGAGAAGAAGAAGGACTCGGACCACAAGGTTGACTTCAAATGGGCAGCAGCAGTAAACTTCTCCAGAAAAAGTTGCTCTCATATGAAGACTGTTTCAACTCTTTTTTAGACCTTTTCACAGTTCTAGAGACGAATTATACAACACCGACGCCTTCTTAAGGTCTTGAAACCAATTTAGTATAAAGGGCTCAATCAAAGCAGCTGAGAGATTTCTTGCTTACTTTTTACTAAATGTATTCAAAGAGAATAAAACACTTCAGATATTGATTTTTCCTTTTGTCGTTGCTTTGCAGTAAAAAAATATAAGTAAAATATCCCAATTATATCAAAATTTAAATTTACCCTGTTGCGAACTATTGCCTAAAGCTAATTTGAGACCCAATAAAGCCATTTTCTCAGCTTTTAAATAATGCTCATCGTCGAATTGGCACAAAAACTTAGGATAAGCATCTTTGCTTACATCAGCATCTAGAAAATTCCATGAAGCTATGTCAATGGCCAAGCGTTTACTGTTATCAACTTTTTTCACCGAAGAACAAGATGCACCGCAGATACCGACGCTTACGTCCAACCCACTACTTTCATCACCATTCAGGTGCTGAAAATGGTGATCCAAATAATTACCATAAGAAACTTCTTTATCCTTGATTTGTATATCATTGCGATCCTGAAGTATAACAATATCTGCCTCTTCGTAAGTATCAGTCTTAATGGGTGCTTGTGTGTGACTAATAGCACCTAAAAGCGCGGCATCGTTGCGGATAGAAGAATCTAAAAGGGGAGCGTTTTTTAGAGAATCCGTACGCGGTGTCGAGGCGGAGGAGGTAGACGTTGAAGGCTTACTGCTTGTGAATACATGAAGACTCGGAAATAGTTCGCGTTCGATTTCAAGTTCAGTTTCATCTGATATTTCATGATCCGTACCCGAGCATTTTATCAATGCTTTGGTTAGTTTCTTTTGAGCAGTATTAGTGGCCCGTCGCGGGGTTAATGTTTTAACTTTCACTAAACAGGAAGTTCCTGCCCCAAATAGTACATCAGAGTACAATGTACCTGGACGACATACAGAGGTAGTTTCAACTGCATTAACGTAAGCAGATTTCTCGGCTATCTTAACGCTATTGCTAGGAAATTTAAGCCAAGTTGGGGAGCGTTTACGTAAACTTTTCGATTTTTTATTGGTTAGGGTATTGAAGCCCGATATTTGTTTTTCTGAACGTTTCCAGCTGCCAGATTTCACTTTTGTGGGAGGAGTTTTATTGCTGTTATTGTTATTGTTGTCAGCATTCGTCCCCTTCGAAGTTGACGGCAGCTGATTATCTGACTTGAATGTTGTCAATGCCTTACTTGGGGCATCCTTACCGTGATTTTTCCCCAATAATTCGCTAATAGATTTTTTCGATTCGCTCTTTATAACCGACCTTTTATTCTTCTCTGATTTCTTTATTGTTTTCGTCGATTTTGTTTGTACAAAATTCTGCTGGTTAAGTTGTTGTTGCGACTGCTGCTGCTGACTATGATGTTGCTGCAATTGATGGCTTTTGCTAAGTAAATTTTGCAAGGAAAAGAGACGAAAAACAAACAATTAAAGTAATCAGTATTGCTGTTGTTGCTGTTATTCCTGAAATTAGCTGGAACCTTACTTCGAATTAAAAAGACCGTTAACCATTCTGGTAAGAAACATTTGCTTAACAAATACCGTTATTTGAAATAAATTCAGGCTGGTTTTGTGTACGAATATGGTCGTTTATTTAAGACTGTATTTTGAATTTTCTTTTGTTTTGCTTTGATTTCGTTTGGTGTTTTCTTGTCTTGGCTTTGCTCTAAAACAAATGGCAAAGCAAATCGTAAAATTGTTTTGGAAAAACAAAATATATAACAAAAGAGAAAACGAAAATTTTTCTGGTTGATTTTTATTATGAAAAATAATTAGCGTCCAAAACTCAAAAAAAAAATTACTTGAAATACTTCAGAAGAAAAAATTTAATAAGAGAAAATGCTAAAAATTTCCATAAACTGGAAAAAACATATACTACTATAAATTTGAAAGTGTACTTGGCCTATTATGTCGATTGTAAAGATTTCGATAGCAAACATTTAAATCAAAGCCGGTAATGTTGACTGTCCTTAATATTCTTTACTAAGGCAGAAAGTAGGGTGTCACTATATATCGTCATATCTTTTACAAATTGTATTTATTGTTATAGTGTGATTAGCCTGTAATAAAAAACAAAACTTTAAGTTATGAAACAGAAGGAAGGAGTACTTTTTTATTACAGCCAAATTCTATTAGATAAGACAACTAAGTTCGAAATAGCGCGTTTTCCTTTTCAAAGCAAATCTTAATTATCGCCGCCAAACATATAACATATATTGTACCATTAATAGTAACCGATCTCGTTGATAAATAGGCGCAAACTTTGTTTTTTGCTAGGCTCTTATTCGTTGATTTCCCGCAGACCATCAATACCAACCACTCAACACAACCAAACATAAATACAATTTAGCTCAATGTAGCTATATATCACAAAGTTCTCGTAATTTAAAAACGAAGCTGTAGATTATGAGTCCACAGTTTAGAAAATTTGAATTGAAGTTAGGAACATATATTTATGTTTTCTTATTATTATGTTTTATTTAGACAAAAACATAAATCCAACATGTCACTGGGACTAGATTCCGCCAATACCAAAAATGTTTTGGCATTCACAAAATATATGTTCAATCGTAAGATTTTGTCCACAACTGCAAATGCTGGAATAAGTTTCTTGACTGTTCGTTGGTGCATCGCAATACGAGGACCAAGCTGAATTCTTCCATATCTCTTGGTCTTGGGATTTCACCCTTTGTGCAGTTGTGCAAAGTAAGCTTCAGAGACCGTAAAGAGTAAACATTTTCTTGATCAACATGGATTTCTAAATTGTTTAAACCATGTTTGTCCGTTTGTGTTGTGTTTGTTGTTGGCACTCTCCAGGTCGCAAAAATGTAGGCAACAACGTCAAATTTGGTGGAAACATTGCAAGTCTGTGCACGCCGATTGCTATTGAAAATGGGCCAAATTGGTTAGAGTAGAAGTCCGAAGTGGAACGCTAACTGAACTCGTTACTCGGAAATTATTAAAGTGACAAGGCTGAAATGTAAAACTGGAAACAATCGGAAATGGCAATATAAAGTTACAAGTGATTAATTTTAATTTTGTGGAATCTTTTAAGATTATATGCTTATTTTGCATAAGGCAAACAAGGCAGGATGTTTAACACATTCATCAAACGATGATATATTAACGGACTAAAAATGGCTTAATTTTGAAATGAAATTAATGATACCAGCGATATGTTTGTCAAACAAAAGAACGTATAGAGTAGAATGAGAAGAACATAGTGGTGGGTACGCGAGATTCAGCCCTTGCCGCAAATAACTTTCTTATTTGTTATTTTTTATTTGTAGCTATATAATGTGCTAGCACTCCATATATTAATCATTTCCATATTTTGGCACATTCGCAAACATTGTAACGCTTAAATTTAGTACTTATTGATCAGTGTTAGCAGACAGAATAAGTAATAAGAAATTAATTCACTTAATTAAAAAATTTAAATGTGCAAATGCATAACCGACATATAGCAGTTTGCCAACAATTGTTATGAGCGTATTTATTTGTGTTTCAATAGGCTACAAAAGCTTAGACAATTTGTTACATAAATGCTTTCAATCATACTAACAATGGAATCTAATAAGTGGTAATATTCGTTTAACATTTTGCATATTGACAGAGACGGATTAAACAACTCATGACTACTTCGACACTGTAGATTCAAACAAGCGAAACGCCTTGATACCTTACTAGAAGTATTAAGATTAATATGTTAGTTAAGGACCATCCTAATTAAAAGTACAAATTTACGAACCACCCTCACAAATATAATAAACAACCGTAAAGTTCATAAACAACGAGTGTCATATGAAGTTATTGTGAACACTTCTCACCGATATCCAATGGCACCCTACCATAAACATCTCCCACCAATATCTTATTTCACCCTATAATAAACATAAATGCTGACTGTGGTTAAACCGAGGTTTCTTTTTTTATAATTTACTAAGGAAAGTCAGTCTCTTTACCAACTATTCACTTAAAAACACCTAGTTTCGAAATAAAATTAAGAAACAAATTTGTTAAATAAATTAAATCAAAAAATATAAAAAGTTTGCGTTTTATTAATAAGGTAAACCCAAAGGAAAATAAAATTATTTAACTTGTTCTCATTTAGCAGGTAGATTAAACATCATCCTTTATTGGCTTAAATGAAAATGTTACTCCCAACACGTCTCTTCGCTAGCGTAAATAAACCATACATTTTCAGTCTCTTTTCATACGGTTCAGTTGTCGAATAAATCTTTCGCCTCCTAGTAAAATATGAACAGTTTCAAAACGGTTAGCATGGCATCCACAATTAAGAAGACAAAAATCTTTGGTAACATAGTGGTCGTTAAAATTTTTAGATATGCTTTTTTTAAAACTAAGAAGAGATGGAGTTTTATTTATTGAAACCTAAATATGGATGTAAAAATTGAGTTTTAAGTAGAAAAAAACACGTATATTTTTATAGTTCGAGAAATTTTCAAAGATGTGCTTTTAAACATGATAATAAGAGGGCAACATACCGCCACGCAAACTACAATTTCTTACATTTTGTTAAATTCAGTACCAAGCGATTAATTACACACCATGAATTCAAGTTAACAGTTGATCGAAGAAGATTAACACCGTACTATGTATCAAAGGAGAGGCAAAGTTTAACGACATCCGCAAACATTAATATATCAGGAAAGTCATTCGCAGTTAATATATATACAATTGGCCCGAGATGGCGGTCCTGGGAAATGCTAGAAGTAACGGAAGATAGTGCAAATTGGATGGAACTAAACGATAACGTTGGGATAGCTATTATCATTCAACCATATTATTCATAAAAGCAAGACAGTATAATTTATAAGAATTCGCAATACTACGGAACACTGCGGAACGATTTGGGCAAGTCGGTGATGATAACATACTTTTGCTTGTGATCGAAAAATCCTTTGAAGATTTGATAACAAAACTCTAGAAGGTTAGTGGAAGCTGACCTGCCTCTTAAAAGACACGCTGACGGGGCTATATAACTGGTCATGAAAGAGTAGTTAATCTCTTTGCTATCTCCCGGATTATTATTAAATTCTGTGTTACATAGTTCACAGTGCAACAGACAATTTAGAATAAGCGATGACGATAGCGATGATTATCTTCAGATGAAACAAACAGTAAGTGCGGAATAAGGATAAATTAATACCTAAAACAGAATTTTATTACATTTTTTATTTAATGCGAAAATTTTAACGAAAAAATTTATCATTTACAATAACAATGCAATTGTGGAAAAAAGCTAACCCATGAAAAGCATCAAAGAACGCATTATTTATCAATGGATACGAAACTACCTAAGATCATTGTTAAGGGCAAAACATTAGGCTTATCGAAATCGCTAAACACTATTAACTTACCATAAGTTTTGAAATGAAAATTATGTTTTTAACTAGAAACACACTTATACGACGTAAATATCATATCGTTAGTGTGCGAATAACAATATACATTCAAACAAATGCAAAGAACAAGAAAAAAGTACACCAGTACATCAAGTAAACAAGAAAAGAAAAAAGGAAATAATTTTTAATTATCTGGATATAAATATATACATATATATATATATATGTAAACTAAAGCAAGTACGTACATCTGAAACCTTAATTTAACTATGCAGAAAATATAAATAAATAACTTTAATTCATTTGGACTCCATTGGTTCCAGTAAATTACGTTTGTGAAAATTTTGTAATAACCTAGTTTAAACCTTTACTATTTTCCTTAAGCCGGCACAAGAATTTACTATATAAAACACTGATCGCAGTTCAGTTAAAAAGAGAAATATATTATAAACGTCAATAAACAAAATGTGAAAATATTATAAAGCGGAATCTTTATTTGAGTTTCACTACTTGGGGACCGTGACAGCACGCACTGAAAAAGTTTTTTTTGACGCCTAAAAATTTCCTTCTTTTGAAAAAGTTAAATATGAACAACAAATTAATGAAAGCTGCTTAAGAACTCGCACAAATACCGCCGAACTTTTAACAATTTGCAAATAACCAAAACACAATATTTGATAAATATTTAAAGTATGAGTGAAATAAATATAAAATAAAATAAATTTCCTTCTGACAATTATTTAAAATAAAAAAAACTAACTTAAAACACAAATTGAATTTATTTAGCGAAAGAAGAGCCAAGGACATGTGAAATTGAGAATACGTAAAGCAATTTACATTAACAACTATTGAAAGACGAATAAAGGACGCATTATACCATGAAAAATACACCATCCCTCTCCAAATATTGTTATAAAATTCGCTTTTCTAAGATACAGTCCGTATCACTGGATCGTGGATGTTTTGTTTCAAAGTTCTTTTATTTACAATTATATTCCTTAAATGTAGGATTATTCAC